ACATGTATGGGGACAAAAAGACCACCCCTCGACGACTTACGGATTACATGGGGAGGTTAGTTCTTCCTCTATTTGCACTAACACCTCCACTAGCTATTGTTCTACAGATACGTTTCATCCAACTTTAAAATTAGACAACGTATCTAGATTTTTCAATTACAATTTACTGATAGATTAAATTTAAATATGATTTATGAATTGCAGCTGCACGGTTGGCCCGCTAGCTGGGCAACGTGTTCGATTCCCGCACGGTACAATTCTTTGTGTGATCCACGAATTAGTGTTCCGGGTCTGGGTATGATGTGTATGTGTAATTATTTGTTTGTAAACGCACCTATGACAAAGGAGAAAATCTTAGTGTGTTATATATAAAAACAAAACAAAAAAGAGCCATTATGATTGATAACAGACAGAAAGTGCATAGACTACTATTACTTGTTTTACTTACTAGAAACTTCTTTCTAAACTTAAAAGGAAAAATGAAGTGTAGGTAACATTACTTAGTAAATTTGTTTCTGTTTTATACATGGGTACTCATAAACAAACAGAGTATAAACGCAGCCAAAGATTAAGAAGAACATAAGTCAACTTCTTGGTCGGATAATTAATACTGCATCAAATACCTTGGGGTCCGTTGAACTCAGCATACAATGGATGTAATGGCACAACATGAGCCGACAGGCGTCTGCTCACAAAGGCTTGGACTGTCACAGACCGCCGCGGCTAACTAGGGAAGCGATGAAGTAACTTAATGGCAATTGGGAATTATTATTGTAATTTTATGATATTTATCTTTTATTGTAGTGTAAATTCATGACGTATTTAATTACATCTTAAGGTTTGAAAGTTAAAATAATTATAACGTTTACTACAATCCTAAGTTAAATGTATTATATATACTATATTCACAACCTTTTTCAACAATTCATCAAATTCTAAACTAAACATTCCGTGAAGTGGAGACAAGCAGTCTAAGGATACTTCCATAAAACCGTGGCTGAACAAATTACAAATACATCAATCACCGTCTAAAAGGTTGTATGAATAAATTCGAGGCGTACACATGTAGTCAAGCCATTTACTTACATCACCACGTCCGGGACCAGTTTTATGACAGAGCCTTAATGGTGACTCCTAGCTTGTCCGCATCTGTTCCTTGATGAGCATAAATTACCGATTAAACCAGTATTTTACTGACTATTATATTCATTTTGTATTTTTATCATGTGGGAGTGCATGGCTTATAGATTTTTTATACACTCATTATGCGCTAAAATTAGACCATGCGATCTTGAGTTATTACTGCGGTCTATATTTAAGTTGAGGACTAGTATTACAGTGGATATAATATGTAGTTATTCAGAGTTCCAAAGATGCCTACAATGTTAAAATGAAATAACTTGACAAATACTGTTTATATTATATACGTACATATGTGTTTAAAGGCTTTAAAAATAAACAAGTTCCGACAATTCATTTTTTCTATGAATAAAAAATACAAAGAAAATTTTAAACTAAAACTTTTTGAATATTTAATTTACATTCTGAAACAACGTTCCCCGTGCGGCGAGCGGACACGTGTAAACTGTCCTACGAACAAGAATGTCCGCGCAGCACACCTATGCAACACAAGTTGCTAAAAGGCTACAACCGCGTTCAACCACAAACGCTCCAACATACACCTATTTTATTAACGAGCCGACAATTTAAAGCGAACTAGAAACTCATTTAGTGGCCATTACCTCCAACTAACTACCGGTAAGCAGATTAAAATGCATGCCAAAAGTTTAAATTTATGTACCGGACGCTCTCTTCAATTAAACTTGTTATAATGAAACTCTGGAAAAACTGAGTAAATTTCTACGAAGAGACGACGCAAATAATTCCCAAGTTTTGCAATTTATACTCATTTTAAAGTTGAGTTCGATGGCGCAGACGTTCCACCAGTAACCCACGACCTGAATTGATTATTTTAACGCTTTCGGATCTTTTCAACTTGATAATTTTGTCTTCCTAGTTACTTGTTTTGTTCGAATTTAATTTAAGTCAAGAAGTTGGTAATATTAAATTATTTTATAGGGACTTCTTAAAATATTTTATCCAGTAAAACATCTTATGGATGTCAGGATTATTTCTATAAAAATAAAGTAACAATTTATTATTCTTTTCGCATTATGTTAATATAATGAAAATGCGGAAAAGAACCACTGATATAGGCTAAATTTGAAAATTAACACAAAGTAATTAACATTTACATATAGAGTACATCTATGTATTTAGTTAAAACCGCTGGGGATATTTGTGGTATAGACAACTAATGCAATTCCACGAATAATCTCAAACAAAACGATAAAAGAATTCCCCGAATGCCATGTTCTGTTTCTATTACCTAACTTTTCGTTTGGTTGTTTTTCGTAAACATTCCAGCTGCCGTTGGCAAACCATTCAATGAACCCGTTTCTATGCTCTAAACGACTGGTCGTGGTCTAAATATACCATTTAAATTCAAGAGCAGTTACTATGCCTTCTACTGAAGCATCATGAGCTATTTATTATTGTCCTTTATGGCCGTTCTTTGACTTACTTCGCCCACTCTACTATATTTTTAAGAGTTCAGTCAGCAAAAGCTTTGCTATTGACTATTCCATTTGGTCGGAAGCAGAGACGGCGTGCAAAGCATCGATAATCAACAGCACTCCATTCGGATAGTGTTAATGAATTTCTTTAGTTGAGTATTCACAAAGCAGTCGACGTCCGCAAAGAGTTCATTTCAAGAGCTGCCAGCCTTCGAGGGGAAAATAAATAAAAATCGGCGGCATCAAATTGTGCGGAGTGACTACGAGGCAAGGTCCCGCGAGCACTTTCTCATGCAAAAGTCGAACGGTTACTTTAATTCTTAGCTGGAGCACTTGTCGGTTTTACGAGCGTGGAGCGATTTAATCCACTTAAAACGCAGAGCACAAACTCCAAGCCGACAAAGCTCTCAGCCGCTCTCATTTAAAAATGGAAATAAACCTTCGGCCATCTTTGACTCAATGCGACCGCTAGTAGAATTCTAAGTGCGGTCTTCAATGATATAGAAACAATTTTTTACCCATTTGATGGATTGCTCCTGATTTATTGCGAGGTTTCAATGGATGTTAAAAGAAATGATGAAGAGTCCTTGATTTCCAGATGTATAATTGTGGACACGGGAAGTTATAGATTCAGTCTGGCCACATGCAAGACGTTGAAACTTTCAACACGTTGACATTATGAAAGTCGGACCACCGCAGTAGGCGGAGTATGGAAAGTGTTAACACATTTGATATTTGTCTTAGCAAATTCTTATGAATCGCAAAGATGATATGTTTAATCTGACATGTTTATGTAAAGAACGGATTTTATATTCTTAGAGTGTTCTTATATCCATCAGAGCATTCGAAACTATTACGCAAACAAAAATATAGCATTAGTGTTTATATTCTCTTTTCGTCGTAAATGTTCCTAACCTTCAATTTGACCTTCATTGTACCGCGAACCTTTATATAATCCATCATTCACAAATCCCCAGATTCAACATTGAAACAAACGAGAACTTTATAATATCAAAACTTATTTAAGCCAAAACAATCTCCAAAAAATAGATTACCGGATAATTTATTTCCTATCTTCGAAGGAATTCCAGAAATTATCCGCCCTTAGCCCACGTCTTTGGCTTCCCCATCTTAATGAAAGAGTTTTGTGGCGAGATTATTTCGAATTGTTTATTTTATTCCCGGACAAACCACCGTCTGTAGCCGTTGATTTTATATTTATACTTTTAAATGTCTATAGTAACTACTGAGGTATATTTTATATCTATGTTAACTACAGAATCCTCGTAAAATATTCTCGGAAACTCCTTCATAATAATTGCAATGGTTTGCACCTTGCAAATTGAAGTAATTAAAGCTTCCTTCTTCAAAGAGGAAAAATAATTACATCATGTGCTGAATGAGTTTCGTACTTTAATTATATCCTAAATAACTTAGGGTACAATTTTCACAAACATACTACTAAATATGCCCAAGATAATGAAATAAAATAAACGATTTCCTTACGATTATTACAATAAGACCTAGCGATCAATGAAAAGAAACAGTGAAGTTCATCTATTTGACACATTTCAAGGCCAAAACCAATTATGCATCAAACAACACTTTAAAAATTTAAGAACCGGCCTTTAATTCTCTCTACTTCTTAATTACCTTACTTTACGTCGAATCTCCCCTTTTTTTGTGACTCAACGGAAATTACTCGGAAAAGTCACTTAAAGCAAATAGGTCTAGGTAGGATAATTACGACTTTTTTTTTCTCGATTTCGTTAATTTTGCCGTGTCAGTTGTAATTACTGTGTAATTGAACGCCGTGTTTATCTTGACTTAACATCGGTATAGGTTCATCGATATTTACCTTACCCTAATAAATCGTATTCCTGTTATCGAGTGGGGAAAGTTGTCGAGAAAGTGTGAGAATTATTTCGTGCTTCAGATCTTTCGATTGATAGACACATCATATTATTGAGTAGTTTAAACCGTTAGCACATAATTTATTCAATTATTGTTTCATTCTTTATTGTCTTAGCTGTTTTATAGTCACATATAAAACGTACATAAGTGTCAGGAATGTACAAAATGTGTTGTTTTTATTCCATCAGATAGAGTTATCAAGTTACAATCTTGAATGTCAAGTGTTTCGCAGCTTTGTACGTTTGTTTAAAATGCAGTTGTAGAATTATTTTAGCAGTAAACTTTATTTTAGCAATAAAACTGTAATCGTGATACATTTTTTAATAGAATGATTAAGTTATTCAAATGTATTCTTAAATATGTATATGAATGTAACTTATTAAATTGATTGATCATTATTTGAATAAATATATATCCGCTTCTGTCAACTTGTTTACCTAGTTGAAGCGGTAGACTGAAAGTTAACACTGTTTTACTATCTGATTTTCCTAACCTATTTTCTTTTTACAGGATGGCGACCGAGGCTACCTGGAAGGTTTGGCTTCACGGTACGCGGACCTTTTCTCAACACACTATGGAGACGTTCTAGACCACCTTGAAGAACTGAGGAGACACGAATGGGACGAGATGTCACCCAGAATGAGGGTGCTTGGAGGCCCTGGAACACCTCAAACTCCACCTTCGGCAAGTCCTGGTTCCCTAGCTTTGAATAACTTGACCACGTCGCATTCGCAGCCCATTTATGTGCCTGGAAAATATTCGGTGAGTTGAATGAAATTCTCATTTGTATTTGGGAATGGTCATCAATTTCACGAATTAGTTATTTTCAAACAAATTGCTAGCTTACGTAGTTTGTTGCATGATTGAGTGTGAGTTTGAACTACTTATAGAGTAATAAATAATGAAACTTTTAGCGTATAAATAATTTGCAGTGTAGCATGCATTTGGCACTATGTCAGCATAGTTTTTTGGCTCAATGCAAGTTTTGTTATCTGTGAAAATTTTACGTGACATGTTTTTAATCTTTCTTATTTCTTTTGGTTTTTGTGTAAATTTGTTACTTAAAAGCTTTGAGGTTAAAAATAAACATAATGATTGAATAATTTATTATGTGTTCATCATGAAATCTACTACATGTTTCATGTTAAACTATTGGTAGATATTAAAATTTATACTAACAAATGTATATTATATTCTAAGATCAGTTGGCCAAGAACAATGAATTCTAAATCTTTCGTTCAGAATAAACAATTTCAATCTGTATGCAGAATTGCTTGAGTAATTTTATGATACTGTAAGAAACTTTACCTAAAGTAGAATCACTTGAAAAAGGATCTCGCTAAACTGCGAGAAGAGCACGTGATGAACTTGAATTTAAATCCTCTGCCGACCATCAGACAAAAGTCCAAGGTCATAATAATGAGGCCGCGGAGGCCTACAGATAAAACGGTCTGAATAAATAATAGGATCATGTCATGTAATCAGACTAAGCGGGACCAAATCGTCGCTTTGTGTAAAATTAGCTGGGAATATTAGGTTTTCAACATTGCCTGTGATATTTGAACCGTTTTTGTGAATATGATTTCATTTTTGTGAATACAATTCTAAGTACGTAAAGCGGATTACCTACCTTCAGAAAGCTTTTCGCATTTATACTAAGTCTAATATTAATACAGATTTTTTTGTTAAGACACCTATTATAGCTTTTCTCGAAAGATATTTCTGTGACATAGAAATCTAATTTTCTTTGTCATTGAATATGAATGAATATACATTTTAATAGGTATCTTCGACTCAATATGATTTTGTTTTGATTTGAAATAGATGGAGGATTGGAAAATTCACCACTAACACACGGTTTGAAGATATGACAGATAAAATAATAAATAAAATATCACATAATATTAAATCATAGCACATTTTGTGGAATGTAGTTAGGATAAGCGTATTTTCAATTTAAAAAAAATCCTGAAGTTGTAATCCAGGATATGTCTGGTAATTAGTATTATTCAATGAAATAGTTTTATAGAATCTCATAAACAACAAAGGTACTTATAACAGTCAGTGTATAAAATAGTTTTAGTACACTAACATTAAATTTTCTTGTATAGATAACAATTTTATAATGTGTCATATACTTTCAAATAATAAAATGAGTATACCTAATTTATATGATTTATTTGAATAGTATTTTAATAATTAATTTCTTTTTTAACAGCCCTCAAGCTGCCTCACAGAGAAAGAAGAGGACGAAATATACGGGTTCGGGTACGGCGTGTTTGGCAAACAAATGCTGCAACGGCAACAGCAACAAAAACAACTCTTGTTGGCGCAACCGACACAACCACTCATGCACAATACGCAGCACAACTACCAAAGGTTGGTGCTTATTTATAGATAAATACCAATTTAAACATATATACATTTAATTTTGCACTAGCTTCAGCCCGCGACTTCGTTCGCCTGACAATGTTGATAGACAGCAGTCAATTTAGGGTCATCACCAAATTACAAACAAATCGACCCAGCCGTGAAATAATAACAAACATATGACATCCTTACACTGTCACAAACGTTCACATTTAAATAATATTAGTAGGATACAGATAATTTTTGTTAACCCATGAATTGTTTTTAAACCCGCGTGCCAAAGGGTAAAATGTAGCCCGTATAACTCCAAACTATTTCTAGATACAGAAGTCTTAGCTCGACAATAAAAACTCTCGGTTGTTATGCAAAAAAAAAAATAAACAAAAAATAATAATTTACCATTTTCAATATACACACGTTATTAATTGTGAAAATAATCGTATAATTATTTACACAACAACAGGCTTGAATCGAGAAAAAATGTGTTCTTTATTAGTTATAAAGAACACATTTTTTCTTTCTAATGGAATTAATTCAAGTCAAGACCGAACCTGCAATGGCTACATTTTATTGCAAACTTTTAAAGCCGATACAACTTAATCATTTGAGATTGACAATTGCATTAAACTGCCAATACTTGTCAGTATTATCAGGCATTAATGCAATTGCATACGCGATGCAGGTCAGTATTTTAAATGTAGTAAGTATTTAAGCACTTTGTGAATTTCTGAATTTGAATAAAAAGAGTTTGTTACTCAAACGCTATAACTATCATTTGAAAAAAGTACAATATTATAATCATTTTATTTATATTTTGTGGTACATTACATAATTGTAGACATAGGACAATTTAGAAAAAAAAAAATGTAGAATAGGCGATTTCTTATTAAGATAACTTTAAGATGAAGCTGTAGTTATAGTTTATAAGGTCGCTCGTGAAATGTAGAATATTCTACAAAACACTATTGAGAACACTATCAACATATAATTATTAAGTAATTCAAATTCAAAATCACAGTTCTAATCAAAACATATAAGTAATACAGTTTATTATGTTGCTATAACAATCTCAACTCACAATCCAATTAAATATTTACTACCGATAATAAAATATAATAGGAATATTGCGAAGAATCGAACAGTGGTCATTATAACAATAACCCGATATCATATTCCGCGAATACCGACGTAAGCTAAAATGCCATTATCCTTATTGGTCTAAAGAAATTCGTGGTGGGCTTACACGAAATGTTAACGATAAACGAGAATAGCTCGGGACGTAGTCATAAATTATTTGGACTTTAACAGGTGTACTTGTTAGATAAGCTTTTGCGCTGCATGTATAAATGCTAATCTAAATTGAAATCAGACATTCGATTGGCGACAGAAGCGGCCCCCGAGTTGAGAATAGCCAAGCTGATGCACGGTTCGGAAAAGCAACTGCATTCTTCTTCGGAAACATTAAATGGATTAAAGTTTTGGAAAAAGCGTTGCGTTCTCTTTTGAAACTAATTTGAATTCTTTTTAAATTCTATGCTAATGTTTGTCACCAAAAAGGATGTTTTTACTCAATTCTAATTCAAAGCCCATAAAATAAATAAAACAAAGCTAAACCTACTTACTACGTACATAAATATTCGTCAATAGTCTCAACACTGAGTCCCTGCGAAGTAAGTTCTCATTACATCGGAGCGTGCTGTAAAATAAATTCAAATTAACTACTGATGGATATGTCCGGGCCGGGTGCCCGTTCGAAGTTTGCGTTAAGACCGTATTTAAATAAGGTCTATCTTTATTGGATACTAAACTACAACTAATAAGGTAACTGTTGTAAACGATTTATGAATGATTCATGTTATAGGTTTCCATTGAGATAGATATTTAATTTCACTATTGATTTAAACTTATTGTTTATAAACTTTAAGGTTCCTTTCGAAGTTTGCCAGCTTATTTCGGATGATTGTAACAGAGAAAAAAAAATTATGTAACTTTACTATGTAGGTATAAACCTTTTTTTAAATATATTGTCCCCATTTCCCATTGGTACATCTGCTTCTATGACAAACCCTATCTCATTGAGAGAGACAGTAAAATGAATAATGTGCAGCACACATTGGTTGAAACAGTTTTGAATAAAATAAAACTGCGATGACGGATTAAAAATGGTTCGTGTATGACGGGAAGAATACAAATGCTTGTTGTTGTACTGATGAAAGCTTGTGATGAATATATTATTATATTTCTCTATACCTATAGTTATGCTAGCAAATAGTTAAAGGAAACGTTATAATTTTTTAAATTTTAAGATCAATGTAAATTTACCGTTGCCCACACATTTTTAGGTACAAAACACATTGAAAAACCTTTACCTTTTTTTTACAAAGGAATTTGATATCATACCTATGTTTATACCCAGGAATAGAAACACGATTCTAGAAATAGCAAACACTGGCATATTTTTAGCTCACAAATTGGTTCTCAAAATGGTAAGAGTAGCCCTTAGGGAAAAATAGGCCACCCACACCGTTCGTGGGTGTTGTTATAAAAGGATTATATCAGGTGAATGACATGATTTGCAAGTTGATTACGGCTTCAATCAAATTTCACTCTGAATAAAAAAGAGAGTATAGAAATACTTATGTCTCTGTCATGTGCCTAACACAGAGATCTTCATAAAGATATTTGACATTCATAGTGTATCACAACAAAAAATTTAAAATCTAACTTATAATCTTATAGTTTCATATACATTTGAACTCGTTTCTACCATTATTAGTATACTCTTTAAACAATTATCTCTAAAACAAAACCTGTACAAGGACTCCAGTTATCCACTAGACCAATTGCGTGTATAACTTTACGATTACCGAATGTCTATAAACTTTCCTATATCCTTAATTAGATCTCAATAACATAAAACTAAACACCTTTCTAGCTGCAACAAGGAATATTAAAACCTGTGGCTACCGAGCGGGGGTGTTCTCATAAATTGGTACCAGGGAAATCGCGTCACAGCGCCCACTCGTTCAATCTAACATGTCTTACAATGCTAATTAGATCTTTGCTCCACTAGTTTGCCTAATGAATTACTCGTAAAAGTGTTATTCGATTGCAAATAGAGATTATTTATGTTAATATAGTTTTAGTGGGCGTACGTTTATCGTTCGTGAATTGTAGATTTGTTTTAACATCACTTGGTTTGGATTTGCATAGTGCATAATATCTTTAAAGATTTAGTAATTCTTTAGTTTCTTTCATTGATTTACATCGAATAGATTTATTTAAGAGTCATGCTACTGCATGAATGGGTCTGCTTGACCGAAGTGATATCACGAGATTAAACTGGCGTAAAACAACTACATCGTTGTGGTCACGTTGTGAGTGAGATTACTGGAGGCCCAATCTCTCTTCCCATCCACCAAATCTACCCAATCTGAAATCCTTATTCCCAAAAGGCTGGCAACGCACTTAAAACTCTTTTGGCGTTGCGGGTGTTTATGGGCGGCGTCGATTCTTTGCCATCAGGTAATCCGTCCGCTCGTTCACCAACCTACCAAATTACACAAGAAATGCAAAATTAAATTAAGCACGAACCAAACCAATCAAAATGACGGTTTTTACACAATAATAATAATTAAATCTCTTTGACCAATAGAAGGCGAGGTTAAATATTATGTTATAGTACATGTTATGACTATCCCGCATAAAATGGATACCGCAAGTCACATTAACATCGTTTAATCAATTTGTAGCCGTAATGAAAGCTTCTAGTTTATAAACTCCGCGTTTACGAGCGCCGCGGCTTACTAACTGATTTCTAGGGAAATTGATTCCGACTACCAATTTAACTCTAGGGCCAATGAAGTTTGTTTTAAGGTTATTTAGGACGGGGTAACACGAAAACTGTGGGCTTATTTACATACATAACTTTGGAAGATCTCGTCTCCAAAACATAAAGATTAAAATAATTGTATTCGGAAAAAAAAATAGCATGGCTTCCTTTCTAAATTTAAACACCAAAAGGAATTAAGTGCAAATAAAAATCATAAATCAAACGAAATATGTTTTCCCTATAAAAAAAAAAATCCTGCTACCAGCTGATTAATGTTCAAAAAGTTTTAGGGGTAACTGCAAATTTTCTCCCATTTCCTGAAATATAAATGAAGGAATTCCTAAATAACGACATCCCTTTTAAAAACCTTGAACTCCTCGTATCCGACCAGGCATCAAAGCTTGCGACTTCTTAAAGTATTAAAATAAAGATACCCTCAGCGCTTGTGTGAACAAAGTTTGCTTGAGAATTCCCAACTCGATATAAAATTATTATGTCGAATTACGCTAATGTTTGTTTGAAGTGAATTAATAACGTTTTGTACCTATAAAATTGTTTTAGGAGTTAAGATATAAAATAATATGACAGTTTAACCGAACTATTATTAATTTTATAAATAAAATACCCGGTAGGTATTTTATTTATATAAAAAAACATATACAATGAATTCTTGACTACATTGTTGGTGCGGTGGTTGGGCAACTGGCTGCCGTGCAACGTGTCGCGGGTTCGATTCCTGCTCGGAACAACTCTTTGTGTGACCCACAAATTGTTGTTCCGGGTCTGGGTGTCACGTGCATGTGACATTATATGCTTGTAATGCACCCACGACACAGGAGAAAAACCTAGTGTGAGGCAACGTTTAAAATGCATTAGCTTACATGAAAAAGCAAAAAAATATTTTACATACCTAATAATACTTATCATCAGTTGTTTAGTCTTCTTATTTGCCGTTGTATTCTATGAAATAATAATTACTATAACAAATTTTAATGAAAATCTAAAGCATGCAGCGTATTTGACAAAGAGAAAATAATTAGGTCCGCGAAACGTTGTTAACTTTGAAGTTGACGTACAAAGGCAACAGAATGTATTTACATAATATTACGAGTAGTACTTCTATAATGTACCCAGAAAATTTTAAAATCTTATTTGATTTATAAATCAATGTTCACCTTTTGTCCTCTTCAATAAAACACACCACTTAATCAGTCCAATACGAAAACGACTCATAATTTCGATGCTCATATATAATAAACACACGCCTACATAGGTCACGTAGAACAGACAAACTAACGAACCTCTAAAATATATTATGTAAATTCTATACATATCATTCATAATAAATTTGTGTCAATTGATGGGAATAAACGCGTACACTAACAATCTTGACACTATAGTATTAGCATACGTAGAGGAATAAAATGATGTTAAATTTGAATATTACAATGTTATCTTTATGTGATGCTGTCAGCATAATTCTGTTTAATACAGAACAACTTTACTTAAAGTTAATGCTAAAGTGAAAACTATTGCAAATAATGTTTCATGAAGGTTGAGAAAAAGACAACTTCAATAATATTTAAGTCATATTAAGATTCTCGATGTTCACATGTTTCATTAACAATTCGGTTTCATAACATCTCAATTATTGTATAAATAAATACACTTTGTCAGACACGACAGGCTGTCATCAAAGCAATTCTCGGGAACTGCAATAATGAATACCTATACAATAACCTGTTCTTTGTGAGCAAGAGCGCAGGTACTTATAATATTTACCCGACTGTACAAACATTACCAACAAGTAATCAAAAGCTGTGTTTAACAACTTAAATCAATAAAATACCAAGATACAAGCTCTGTATGGTGTGTACTGGCATTTAGGGCGATATATGTACTCGTTACTCAATTAACGCTACGCACAGACGAGAATCCTACTAACAAGGTACGCGATTACCAGCGGCGAGATACGGGAAACGCGAGAAACGCCGTGATACACGGCTTAACTATACAAAATTTATCTAAGTGCTATAGAACGCGGTACGTCGTTATTTCTGATTCGCTATCTGTTTTGTTGGCTGGATTCGATTACGTTTCGACATAGGTCCGGTTTTGTATCTTTTATTAGTCGCCTGACAATTATTGGCTTTGTCATGAAACAGTGAGAGTTATACCGTCCATCTTTAAATTGAAGTTTATGGGTTTAAAATGAAAAACGCTTGGGAAATCCTATCGACGAACGACAATTAAATAGTAATAGCTCTTTGAATGAAAGGTTTATTATGTCGCTATAGAAATTCTCTGTTTAGAGTTAGACGATAAGTTTATGCCATGGTGGCTATTGTTAGGACTTAAACTGCAATTCCGTTGAAATAATTTATAATAACTTGACCAATTGACATTGATTGCAAGCAACTACGTTTTAGTTTCTCATAGTATTCTTTACTATCTACAAGAAGGTTTGTACTTATTTTTAGTCAAGTAATCGTTTTACTAATATCATTCAACGAAGGTTAAGTTTATTAAAAACTACCTTCTTTCGCGCGGTTTCACCCGCTGCTCATCTCCATTTGAACATAGCGTGATGTTTCGTAGCCTATAGCACTCAGGAACATTGTAGCTATCTATCGGTGAAAGACTTTTGGCAATCCGACCAGCGGTTCCAAAGATTACCCCCTATATACAAACTTACGACTATACCTTATAATATATTAGTATGAATTAAAAATAGATTTCAAATAGCGAGCAATTTTTACTTTTGATAAATTATCACGTAAACATAACAACAGAGCCGAAATTAATATAAATTTATTACCATCGTAGGACTAAATTGTTGAGAATCAATATTCATTGCATCCGCGGCGTTGCATGGTGCCGATATGATACTCACACTGATTTATTGCCCGATCCCAACTTTATATTGGGTTTGCGAACTGAAACATGTGCGATATTGAACTATTGTTTGGTGAAACGCGTCTTGAAATTCGATGAATTATCATTTAGTCTAGTTTCGAATCGAGTTGGCTGTTCTGAATGTATATGTATACATAAGCAGAGCTATAGCAACAACTCAATCATTTTTAGTCTAATTTGATTTATAAAACACAGCTACTTTTATTTTTTCTTTTCTTCTAAGAAAAACGTTCCACAAGGATTTTCTCCTGAGTCGTGGGTGCGTTTACAAACATACAATTTCACATGCACATCACACCCAGACCCGGAAAAACAATCTGTGGATCACACAAAGAGTTGTTCCGTGCGGGAATTGAACGTGCGACACATTGCACGCCAGCCACCGCGCCAACGTGCAGTACTACAACGAAATTATGTCAAAGTAACAATTCTCTGTCAACTATTACAAAACAAAGTAACAGTCTAAAACTTATTTATTATGTTTTCGGCTTACTCACGTAATAATTTGACGAGATACTCGACTAGTTTCAAGCCATGCTAGAGGCCCATATTCATGAGCAGCATTCCGCGACACGCGACTCGACGACTGTCGCGCTGCTACTATAATAAATAATTTAGACTGTCTCACGAAAGTTATAATAAAAATAAAGTCTAAAACTTATTTAATATTTAGCCTATAAGTAACCTAGACAATTAAAACAAGTAAAAACTTCCATTACAATCAAAACCAATCAATTTTCAATTATCTGATGACAGCAACATTTTCAGTTCCAATAAAACGAAATTGAAATAACATTTAAAATACCAGACGTATTAATTTTATACTTTCAAAATTAACTTCGGTTTAAACGCTCAATTATCGGGGCTGATTAAGGGCTGCGTACACATCAAAACGAACTCTTTACAAAATTTACGATTTCATTAACTGCCACTCATTTTACGGACAATCATCATTAACGGAGTATTGTTAATGCTGAAGTCGATTAATTTCCCATTTTCCGGTTGCCCAATGCTTAGTCCGTTATTTTTCGTTTTTCGCGATATCCGATTGGTGCATTTCGGATGTTTTGTGTACGGTCCGTGGTTTATTATATTCGGTGTCAAGAGATTATAGGTAAATAGATTATGTATAATAAAAATCAATGTTTTTAACATTATGTAAAAATCTAGAAACATTTAGAAAAAAACATTATAAAGAATAACAATATCTACGATAATGAACAAAATTACTTTAACGTTTACCCAAAACGTAATCTGATTTATAAAGTATTTTAGCGAAAATCTTTAGTCATTCAACTAACGTGGCGTATTTTTGTTCCAGCTGCCTGAGTCCACGGTCTGCGTATTTCTACGAATTCCCGCCAAGCGGTAAGTACTACTACATTATCTAAAATAAATGTTAATCTCATTAGAATTCAGTAGCTATAAAAGTTGACTGTTATTAGAGCTGGTATAGAATAGTACATTATGTTGCAGACGTTTTGTTGGCAAAACTGCAATGCAACGATGCATTCCTAGGTCACCTTTATGTATATCTTACAGTTAGCTCTTGGCCTATTTCCAGGTAGGTTGGATTTTCTGCTAAGTTTGTTAGGTAAAGCCTAAAGTACGATATGTTACCTTACCAAGTAGTGTAAACAGTGTGTGTTGTGTACTAAATGGTCAAGCTTGGGACCTATGTTACTTACTACTCTCAAAATTGGGTACTTTGGTTATGGTCTCCAAATGGCGTTTTCTACTTACAAAATAATATACAATGTTTTTGTACATACCAGGATATTATAGTTCTGATTCTGGCTAATTCTAACTCTAATTCTGGCTGAAATTAGCAATTTAAATAATAATTGCTTATGTCTTCGGAAACAAAATATTAATCGACAACATCAAAAATTAATTAATTTTGAAACATCTATGTGTCTAAAAGAACAAGAAAATATAGAAGGTGGTTTTATTTCATTTGAATTTAAAATGTACATATAAATGCAGTTAATCGTTCTTGATACATTTCCCCATAACTTTCAACGTCAATTAATGTTAATAAGCCATTAAATAAATTCTGAGAAACGCTACGAATGTAAAGAAAAAACCGAAATATGTGCTCGCCACTTGAGTGCTTGATTTATTAACATTAAGCTTTGGCTAGACGTGTTGACTCGTGACTAGACTTTTTATAACTAATTCACTAAAAGTATTTTTGTCGGGAAAAGTTAATACCATTTTTACGCTGAAAAGTATATTAACGTAGTTTTCCTTTTAATGTCTTAAGGAGGTAGATAGATTAGGCTTTTTTTTTTCAAATTTCAGCTACAAGCCTGATTAAGTATTGAACAGTTTTAAGGTAGATAGGTATTAGAATTTCAATAAAGTGTCTATTGTTTAGAAAGTTAGGAATACATGTCAACTCAATACCCATGGATAAATTGAATGTGTGACTTATTGACTTTTATTTATTGTTCATAATATAGCCTACTAGATTATATAAATATATTAATAATACATTACTCGTCATTCACTGGTCTAGATAGTAATAGAAGAATAATATCTCCAGCAAATCCAAAGTAAATGACAAATTAATTTTAAGCAGGCATTGTTGTTGTAGATAACTGCCTGGGCACAGCCAAGAAGAAAGTGACTACATTTTCAAGGTTACTACGAGGACTGAAGTCTCATAGGAAAGAGAAGCACGGCTCATGTTCGCCGAAACATGCGCATAGTCCAAGACAAGTACTGCCTCCACAGCGGGTGAGTCTATTGCACTTCTTACTTCGATGACCTTGAAAATTTTGTCAAATTGTAGTTGTTAACCTAAAAAAATCATGTATAATAACAAAATATAAAGATTAAATAGATACTCAAGTGCTTGATGAATGATAAGAACCGTAAGGATTACATTTTTAGTTCGTTTTTGCAAGCCTTTCACATCAATTTTTCAACTGACATCAAAAACGCATTTTCTTCGTTTTCTTACTTTCTTCAAGTAAAAATACCCGTAATTTTTTATGCAAATTTGGTGCATATCAATAATGATAGGCTAGTTACTATAATTTGATAAATATCAGGTCTTGGTTGGTTGTTGTCAAATATGTTGTGTTTACTTAACAGGAATGCTGTGTGGAGTTTTTAAAATCTATGTACAAAAAGTGATGTTATATTTACTTTTATACTAACCGTAAAATGTTCTGTCTAACACTGAGTATTCAGAGTACTCCAGTATAAAATAATAACGTTTTATACATTTTGTAACGAATTCTATCTATTTAGAACCCTTAGTATTAATTAATGAACAAAAGCTTACTGAGGAATAGATGGTGGTATAAAGTCTTTACCTGAGATATACAGTAGGTAGGTATTAATATAACCGGAATCCTTAATGGATTAAAACCACATCTCAACAAAAAGTTTTTATATTACTTATAAAATTTCCTAAAAATAAAGTCCCTTGAAGAGAAACTTGTACGAATTGTTGTTTAACAGATTCTTTCACAACAAAATCATCTTATTATAAATAAAACTCATAATTTTCCTCGGTTCACAATTAAAGCATATGTCCCTTTGTGAATATAATAAAAATGAAATAACATAAAAGCAATATGTTAATAGTTCTAGCGACTAATAATAGGAATATAATTGCAATGTTTACAGCTTCGCGTGGGCGGTCAATTATGCTGTGAAACGTAGAGCCTATAACTTAACACCTCGAACTAAATAACTAGACATGGTACAACGTTTAATTAAGAGAACTGCTGCATTAATAGATATACGATTTTATAATTTAAATTGGACACGCGATACTATATTTAATTATTCGTAAAATATCTTATTTCACATTTTATTTCAGTTTCATTTATCTGCGTGTAAATCTTCGTTCTGTTTAGTTTATTCATTCGACTAATTAAGTTTCATTTAACTTAATATGAGTAGTAGTGAATTCAGCATTATCAGTGTTAGTTTTGGATTCACTGTATGTCTAATTAAAGGTTTTACTTTAAAAAGTTACATAACCATCAATACGTATTCGACAACTGCACCACAGACTACTCTAAAACCACTTCAAATTTTAGGTCAAACACAATTAGATCCCAAACAAGCGGAGCCCCAATAAAGTTCGCCGCACAAGTATATTGCTATTGTCGTCGCAATTTCTCGTTAGCAACAACAACTGTTTGTAACCGAATCTTAGTTTGAGTACACGCTTACGGCGTCTGTCTCTCGCGTTTTTTCATACATTCCTTTTTGCTACCCCCCATGCACCATTATGTGGATCCGGCGCGACGCCGGTACGCCTTTGACATGCACTCTGAGCAATTAGTATGACGCGTCGTGTGTACCAACGTACGTACAATACGTACTTGCAACGCTTAATTTTTTTGGAATGTTTGCGCTTAAGTCTGGGTTTTTTCGAGATTTTGGTGGGAGCTAGATAGTAATGAGGCTGAATGCAGTTTGAGATTATGTACAGTGCAGTTATTATGACTACTAATGAATGTGCGTAATCATTCAGATGATAAATTTTCTTCCAAAGTTGAGATAATGTACACTATGCTGTAGGTACGTCATCAAACGTCCTACAATGAGATGACAAGAAATATGAATTCCTCGACTACCAATAACCCTACACAAGAAATACACGCTTCGAATACGCAACTCATCTCACCCAAATTAAGTGCTACATTTTTCCACGTCCACCTATATATTTATTAATCTCCAGACGAGGGGGTAAAGAAGGGGGTGGTACGTCACCGCATGCCTTTTGAGAAATGACGCCTGCCAAAGTTAAGTCGGTTGAGCCAAGCCAAGGCGGTGAGTTATGAACGTTTGTTGAGCCAACGGATAAAGGCCATTAGAGCCCCAGTATAATCCTTATCGGCCAAGTTGCACTTAGGATTAGTCTTGTCAAAAGTCGCCTTTTTCGGTTTATTGACCAAGCCGTGTCCAGCTGTGATTAGGGGATCAGAAGTGGATGAGCGTTATTTGGAATGCTTGTAGAGGCTCACTACTTAAAAAGTTTTGTCCGATGCAATCTCTCGTCAAGATTATAAACTGAACGTCGTGCGAGGGAGAGACGGCTTGTTTACTATAGACCAGGACAAAGTACGCCCTTCAGCAGTACTGCTTATCTCTTATTGAATCCATTTTGGACACAATCGTCTGACATTTACAAAATCTCTATGTAATTCAATTCCTTCGAGATTTGCAAATAATTTTGTTTTGGACTTTATTACTTATTATTCGATACTAATTCATTAGGTACATCTGTCGACTTCCAAAGTTAGTTAAAAATTATTTAAAATTTTAATTATTAAAAATGAGCATGTCTTGCAAGCATAAATCACTTTTGCAGTGTCAACCAGCGTTTCTTTTAAAGCAAGTCCGGCCAATTTTCACTGGTGTAAATTAAATTTTGCTTAGCCCCATGTTCCGTCGCCCGATATTACGCCAGCAAATCTGCGAATAAACTTCTTTAGTCTTTGCTGCTATTTTGCAGAATTAGCTGTTTGAAACAAAATAAAAACTCCAATGTATCAAATTTTCTTTAATCTTTGACCTACTTGTTATATACGTATATATAAACTAACTAGGTCTACAAAATATTACACGAAGCACCTTCTTCTCTTTGTAAGAAATAAATATCGTTCCAATGTTTGTATGCATGAAGATAAAAATAATACACATTAAAGAGAAATAGCTAGCAGCGTTACTACTTCACAATTTACATAATTTCGCTATAACAATGTGGTAAAAGGACTCGATAAAAATTATTACATGCATTTTTCTTCGGAAAGTACAATTTTAGTGTAAACCACAAGTCATTTTAAGTAGGTCCAAAGTAATCATGCTATTCGGCTCACACGATATTGGCACGGTGCCTTCGATACTTCTTGTGGGAGGTATTATTGGTCCATGTTTATGTGTATGGTTTGCGCTCTATAGAGAGTAATAAAACGTTATAGTTGCTCAACGGGCGCTTTTAGCATTCCGAACACCGTAAATACGAACATCTTGTAACGATGAACGAGTATTGCACGTTGCATTGTTAGACAATTTAGTGGTAGAGTATATTGCGTGTTTAGGCACCCATTTCACCTTCCCCAGCCGTAAAGAAGATGATAAAACAGGATTTAGTTGATGATGGGTACTTAGGATGAATATAATACCTGTAGCTAACATTGCTGTTTTGAACTGTAATGCAGTTTTTACTGTTTCTTCACTCTTCATCTAACAGTGGTTTGTGTTGAGTTTAAGTACTATCATATCACCTAAATCGTTTAAAAATATTATACCATTCAATTCCAACTTTCGTTATTTTTTTTAAATCGAATGTCAAACTATACAGCAATTCACGTTCAATTATATTTGCAAATTAAGAAGTTCGAAGGTATGCAAAGATTTCGTCAAATTGTACAGCACTGAATAAAATTTTATTCCAACTACAAAACACGAAGTATGCAAATGAATCTTAAAAAGATTTTCATGTAGAATAGATTAAAACGTAGCCGATATTAAAGTTTCACAAGTAAAAGAAAATTATTCGCTCTGGCATAGGGTTGTCGAACATTTTTTTAAAGCACTATAATTTTATATAGTAAGAAATTCACTTCTGCCTCTGTAATATATATTTAATAGGTAAAAATTATTTAAAAATTCAATTCAGTTCAGATTTAGTTTTATTTCATTGGAAATAAAACTAAATCATAAAAACTTTTTACTTATATTTTCTTAAATTAAATATTATTTACTTGTCTCTGACAGCGGTACCTAGTACATCCCAGTACATTCAGATCCGTTCAGTAGAATTTACTTTAAACAGTAACACCACCATACTTACAAAATTTCGCATTTGTAATAATAATAGAATATGATGATGAAGTTTTTAATAATAATATTACATTTTTACTCGCATTGCTCGATAAACTAGATAAGTAAACATTCGTTCGCGAAGCAACCCTAAGCAAAGCACATTTATCAAGTTTACTGCTGTTACGTATTCAGAACCATTGTTTTTGACACAGATTACTTTCCTAGCACGTTTAGCTATGAAACTTGTATGCAACTTTGTTTTGAATATTTTTGCATTACTAAATGACTTGAATGTTGCGCCTAGTTTGCGGTTTTCCATTCAAAGAAACTTTTATAGTTCTGCTTCTGGAATATTCATTTACAGGGTAACTTTGATCGGTTTCTAGTAGTCAGGGATAACGATTTTAGTTTTAATGTTTTGTTTTAGCCGTTTATGGGAATTAGAATTTATGTCTGTGCCACACAATTTGTTGTCAAAGTAACTATTTGTAACTGGACTACTGTGTTATTTGAGTTTAAGGTTGAACTACCGTTGTACTGATAATTTGTAGAACAGCTGATCTTGTGCTATTAATTTTGTATTTAGTAACGCAGGATTTGAGTGTATACTTAACAATTTTGCACAGTTTGAAACTAGGTTGTTTATGTGAGACACTCGAAATCATTGACCACCTGTTCTGTTTAATCCACAACTGCCAATCATTTTCTACCATAAAGCGCAGACAATGGATTAAATGAATATAATCCAATATCTCTCAATGCCTGCGCCAATTATTGTGTCGATAGCATTCCTGAAATACTGTTTAGACCTGCCAGTCAAAATTAAATTTTATTGCAATGGAGACAGGCAATATATTTGAAGTCAACAATAGACAGATCAATCTCTAAGCGAAAACCATGTTAGTGTCAAGCAAAATGTTAATTGTAGAATTGATTTGTTCCAGTTTTGATTTATTATGACGGCTTAGTTTTAGAATGTCCTTCCAAAATCCATTAATCAAAGCGGATTTTAAAGTTAACACGTTGAGACGTAATATAAAACCTTTAAATTGTATTAAAATCCAAAGTAAGGGATGATCGAAAAACACCCTTAACACGAAAACCATTAAGCCGTCAATAGCTCAAACACAATTTTAGAACGATATTTCCGCATAAAGAAAACGTGTGTGACTTTGATAAGGGCCCAATAAATCGTGCGAGGTTCGAGTTTGGGGCATCCGCGTTGTCGCATTATAGAAGCTTCTATTGTAGGCTATTCGCATTATTCCCTTATCAAGTGGGAGTTAATGGGCGAGCATTGTTGGTCCTATGATTAATTGATTCGTACGTACATGCTTTCATTGTGATGCAGATATCCTTAGCTTTTTCCTTGCTTAAGTGAAAATGATAAATGGAAAGCCATTGTCGTTCTAGTAGTAGTGACGTTATGAGCGTATGCTAATTAGCGTGGTGTGATTTTGATTGTTTGTTTATTTTGTTTGTTTTGTCGCTGTTGCCACAGACAATAGTGAATTATGAATGAAGTTGAGGTTTTGGTAAATATTGAATGTTAGTTTCGTAGTTCGTCTTTAGCGGGATGTTGTTGTTGGTACAGTTTTGTCGACTAACTATTTGGAACACCAGGATAAACAAATAGAAAGTATTGCTCTTCGCAATCAGTTGTAAGTTAGATTATTAAATTATCTTTTAAAAATATTAGCAAACGCATAAGCAACCCAAAAATGCTTTAAAGTAATCATTAATCAACTAAAGAACCTTGCACTAATTTTACATGAAAACATTTCGCTTATTCAACTTTATTGCCACTAAAATTATGTCGGTTGAGAACTTCTACGAACTTAAGACGATAATTTATCATATCGCCGCTACGGTGATTCGGGAAAAAGTTAGACTTTCCAAAGTAACTTCTTAGTGTATTTTCGAGAAATCTCTATAAGAAAAATGACTAGCTGATCATATGATAAATGATGTAAATTCTGCTCTGAATATGTACTTAATTTGTGTTTCATTTAAGTTATGTAGAACTTAGATTTAGTGTCCGTCCAACCTTACATGTATCGTTTGACAAGACGGATAGAGTGTGTATAAAAAACCAATTTAGAAAATGCTTTACAAAGATAATATTATTGTTGTGTATGTTTTATTTTACGTACATATGTATAAGGTGTATAATTACAATAGTATATATAATATCTATTCAATATTTTGTATCAACACGACAGCACAAACTACAAAACTGTTTGGGAATAAGTATTCAAAATTTTAACGTCGGCGTCGTGATTATAAGCGGAAATTTTTAACAGGTGGATACACCGGACAGCGTGCTACAAAGTGGCCTTGGCCTAGGGCCTGGGCCCGACACGGCTCTTAGGTCAATGGTTGACCCGAGAGACTATGACCGCCTCCGCTTCTTTCAAATGAGTGCCGCCCAACCAAACACCTTCGAAGAAACTATCCATAGGGTGAGCATTCAGCCCATTTTCCTTCACCATCTTTGAGTTCACAGCTATTTTAAATTGCCATGTTATTTTTCAACAACAATGTCCTCAAAAGAAAAATAATTCTACGTTAAAAGTTAAGTTTGGATCACTATGACTATTTCTTTATAATTTATGCAAAAAAATTAAGCAATTTCACATGGCTTTTTAAAGGGTATTTTGTGGGAATATGTTCATATTGTATCGTTAACTTCCATAGTTAGCCGTGCAATAAAAACTTCTGATCTCAAAGGTGATGCAGGAGAATACACCAATCTGTTATGCTCTGGATGGCAAAATATTTAGACAGTGTTTATGTATGTTTATGGATAGATTTATTTTATATATAGCAAACATTTGGCTTTATAAATGTCTTCATCAAATAAATGTAGCCCGTTTTTCTTGCTTATTTATTTATTTTATAGATATCATTTTATGTTTATCATGCCATTGTATAAAATATTTGTATTTCTATTTACAATACGGAGATACAGACACGGCGTTTTCCTCATTGTTGTTAAATGTAATAAAATATTTGTATTTATTTGCCAAACAGAGTTTTAACAGATATCAAAATTCAAAATCCCATCAAACACTTTTTGGCTTCTTTTAATCGGCATGCTCAAAGAATTGGAGGTGGCTCTACGGATCGTATTATATCGCATAAAATTATATTTTATGACTCTCACGTTTATATCATTTTTTATTTATAATTTTATTTTTCATAACATAAAACATTATTTCTGCACAGCTCCGTAGTTTGGTTTTATTTGCACGAAGATAAATTTTATGCATGGTTAATTAACTACACGAAAATGCATGTTGTGCACGATGGTTACGTTAAAAAACAGCCTTTCTCATTAAAATATCAATTTCATTCTGATGCACAATATATTTTTGTTAAAGAATATGAAAATTTTTCCATAATAATTTCCCAAAAATATAATTCTTACAAAATAATGGCGTATCAACAATATTTTTATTATATGAAACCATATTTTATTCATTTTTTGTTACAGTTAAAAGTTCAAGAAGCTATGAAGAAAAAAGACAAACTTGCAAGAGAACAGGAAGAGGTAATAATCTTTAAAATTAACAAAATTGTAGAGGCTGTATGAATATTGCTTATATATTTTTTGTAAACGAACCAAACATGGGTAAAAATAACACAAAAGTATAACGCAACGCAAAACAACGGGAAACAATAGACGAAAATTTTTTAAACTAGAAATGTTTTTATTTGCACAAAATTCAAATATTCCGAAACAAAGCTGTAACAAAAAACGCATTCTAAACGTCGTTTTATCAGATACTTTTATTCGTAGCTATGCCCAAAAACAATACATTAATGCAATCGAAAAGTTCCCTCCGTTCACAAAGCCTACATCCGAAAATAATCTGATTCCAGCCTCGCACCAACGTGTAATCTCCTGACTGGCTCAACCATTCGACGCACCTACCGAGGCAAGCTAATCGTGCCCTAATCTCGGACTAAGCCTATTAGAGGCAGTTGTATCGCTTCCCTACGAAACTTCCGAAGCCCCTTGCTCAGCACATTTCGCTCGTAAAACTATGGGTCGAACTTCAGAATATTGAACATTGAAATTTTACTGTTTCAATAAACTGTTTGCCGAAATTTCGGTAATACAGAAATCGGTGTAACAAAATGTAAAGGTGTTGAAAATATTGGGCATAAATTCAATAAAGTTTGATATTGTAATATAAATCAAAGTTAAATAAATGTGAATATTATGTTCCCAACATATAGTTATGGTGTGAAGCCGCAAGATTTTGCTAAAATCTCATTTAGTAGAGCAGTACGACACGTAAATCCCTTTCGTGTATAAACTGCGCCGTCTTGGTAACTAAGTGTGCATAAATTAAGTTAATGTTCAATACTTTTCTACTTACGAGAAAGTGGTCTTTTTATTGCCCCCTTTGAATATTTATTATCGTGTTCACGCATTCAGGAAAATATTTCGTAGAGAAACATTTTAAAAGATTTTTCGACCCGTTTCTCACGCGATTTATGTTTTAAAATATGCATGTACGTCGTCTAGGCCGAATAATTGAACAAACAAATAAATAAGTACTAAAAAGAATCGAAGAGCCTAAACTAAGTTGGTAAAATTAGATAATTGATTACATATTTATAATGCTGTCCACATTTTATTTCTACATACATAGTTACGATACTGTCGTACAAATAACTTGCACACAGACGAACGAAGGCTTCCCCTCGTTTCCTTATAAATACTATAAAGATTTTATGGCTCACTTAAATGCATTCCTATTTTGCACAAAGAAACAGAGATGAACTCGACGGGTGGGAAAAATGCAAAATTCAAAAATGTGTAGGCGCAATGTTACGGACTCGTGGAAATTGCTCATTATTTTTAAAATTAAAATTTTCCTATTTTGTTCCCATCTCCCCTACAAAATAGCTAGCTCAGTTTCCTTGAGAAATTAAATAAAATTATCTACTTTTAAGGAAAGAAAATTCGAAAAATATTCGAGTATGGTGTTTTGAATTTTTTTACAAATATTTATTGTTGTTACAGATCCTAAGAGATATAAGACATGGTCTTATGAACATGGGCAGAGATGGTGTGCGTGGACCCTTCGGAGGTATGTTGTAATTAATTTCGAGCATAACCTTGTCCAACAACATACATATTTGATTAATGTTTGGATAAAGTTCGAAACAATTTTAATGTGCTTTTGACATGAATTCCTACAAGTGAACCTGAATGATTTTTAATATTTTAGAAATGTCTAAGTCACTAAATGGTATGCAGTTCTCAAAAAGTTATGAATAGTTCTATCTTTATTAAATATTTCTAAAGTATTAAAATCTTCAGTTTTACTAATCATTGTTGAGCTATCGTGATTACGCATGATGCTTGCACGACTTTTCATACATATGTAACCAATTGTGCGGAATGCTTATTTTGATGATGTTATTTTCACGTCCGATATCATTTTTATTCGGTATGCTTTCGATGTGCAACAGTCATTCCTCATTTTTACTTATTGTTTTATTATTGAAAGAAATGGCCTCATTTAAAAGTTCAGTACTGTCAAGTTTATTTCATATTGCTCGACTTTTCCGTATGCAGCAGCTTGGAACACTACGAGACGCGATAGTCTTTGAATGAAAGTAAATAATAAACAAAATCAAAGCCATTCAATATCATTCATCAAGTCAATGTTTTCTTTGCGAGAGATGCTGAGTGCATGTTTTGGATAAACAATATTTTGCAACCACGCACGGCTTAACGATGTTCGTACACAGCTTTAACTGCAGTGTTGTCAGTGAATCGCCATTATATGGAAGGCATTTGTACGGTAAAATTTTTTTGGCAATTTTTGTAGCACGTATTTTTATTTGCATTACTGGGAACTGAGATTCGTTGGTCTAATAGAGGGCTCGTTTACAGACGACACATACATGTATGACGACGAAGCAAGAGGCCTCTCGGGAAGAGGACATTGGTACGACGAACCACCGTACGAGAGTGACCCCGAAGATTTTCTAATGGGAGGAGGAGCACCAGCGGCGTCATTTCAAAATGGTCGAGTTTGCTTTACTCTGAATCTCAGAAATGAACCGAGAGGCGAAGGCGTGATATCTTTAAGAAGCGCCGGCGATATAAGTTTAGCGAGAACCCCTCGGAGGGGATTAATTATTCCGCAGAGTGGCCCCTACCCAACCACCGTTATCCCTTTGCGAACGGCGAGAGATCGGGAGAGTGGGGATTACGCCGCGTCTGATATCCAATCTATAGGATCAAGACTATCTGGCATCTCTTTAGAGTCAAACCGATCAGAACGAGACTCCAGAAGGGGCTACCGACAAATGTCAGGCTATCGGATAGGTGCTGATCCTTTATCGCCAGCGTCCTCTGACTACGAAGACCAGGAAAGCGAAACTGATTCGCAGCATATAGCAACTGTACATAAGGTAATTAAAATAATTTTACTTTATTCGTTGTTTACTTTAATATCTTGTCAAACAAACAACTATGGCTGATACAAATGTGACTTTTTTGATAATTCCATTACCCGTTAAACAATTTTATCACTTATTTCAGTCCGCTGAAGAATGTGAAGGAGTTTCGAACTTGGCTGGAAAAGTGAGAGGTCTTAGACAAGATGTCCAAAGAAAAATTTCAAGGTTAAGACAAGAGAGGGGCCCTGAAGGCAGTGACAGGCGGACGAGCGGTGACCAAGCGTTCCCATGTTCTAATAGTTCTTTCGAAAGTCTTCCCAGCGGATCAGGCAGTAGTGAGTGGATTTATTAAGTTATTTGTTTGTGTTAATATAAATGGTTTTGTAAATAAGTTGGTCTTTCCTTTCTTTGTACCATAACTCCCCACGTGTTACTTACAGATATACCTCTTGTAATTTATGTAATTCTTAAATTTTATACACATCATAAACTAATCTTACTAATTGCATTGCATTGATTACTAAAACTACTACCCATTCACAGTCATACAAAGATGTACACAGGTATTCTACTTTCAATGTGTTGGTTGTAGACACTGGAATTTATTTTATCTGAGTCTAGAATATTTATGTACAGGCACACAAGCATTGGTTCGCGCCGGTAGTAATCACTCATCTCTCTCGGCAGAAGAAAACATAGAATTAAGTCCAGCCGGGCGGAGTTTACTCGTGCCGCAAATGCTGTGTCGAGCTCGGGCCCTCGTCGATTACGTACCCAATATTTATGAGAAAGATGCCCTGAGATACAAGGTAAGACGACTTAATACCAAAGCGTACCCGCTGCTCGCATCTCGAAAGTAATGTCTAATAACGTGTTATTTGTCAACAGAAAGGAGACATCATAGAAGTGATAAATATGAATGCGTCCGGCATATGGCGAGGCGTGTTGAACAATAAAGTTGGAAACTTCAAGTTTGCCCACGTCGAAGTTTTATCTGAACGGGATACGGTGCGTTCAAGATCGTCAAAATGGTGCAAAAGTCGCGAAAGGCTTTGGGAAACTCGACCACGCACAGTAGAAGAATTGCTAAGACGAATAGATTTGTTAGAGTACGCTGTAGCCTTTGCAAGAAATGGTTATGAGGACATTGAACTATTTAAAGAGATTGAACCATCGGACTTAGACTATTTGGGAATAATGACTCCTGAACATCGTACACGTATCCTTGCTGCTGTACAACTTCTCCACCAGCTTGAATGTGAGTTGGAACAATAATTTTGTTAAAAAAGTATTCCATTAATGAAGCTACTAAGAAAATTATCAACTCTCGTAGGTGGCGAAGGCGAAGCAGAAGCTGACGGAGGCGGCTCAAGCTCCGAAGGTGGTGACTCTCCCTTTGGTAGAAGACAATTTCCCCGCGACTCGGGGTGTTACGAAGCCAGCGTAGGAGTTGGAGGTGTTCGAGTTCGAACTTCACCGTTAGTTCATAGGGCTGATGAACCTTCACATAGGCCCCCAGAACCAGCACCGCAAGCTAAGAGGTCCATTCGTCGACGACAACCAGATGATGCTGAATGTGATAGAATTGAACGCTATCCAGGCACAGGCACAGAGCGCACTACTGTACGCAGTGGCGGTCTTCCTGGTGGTGCAAGAGATGATACTTGTGAATCTGACCATCGACTAAATGTAGTCAAGTTTGTAGCTGGTGGGGAGCCGTGTGCTTCTGAGAAAAGTAGCGATTCGGGGGTGAGTAGTTCGTCTTTAAGTTCCGCTCACCCCCACCGTCCCTGAGCGAGGCCTGCCGCGCCCGCGCTTGCCTAGGCGCTGGCGCGGGCGCGTGCGGAAGCCGCGCGGTCGCCCGCTCCCCCCGCCGACACTGAACCATCAGCGCCGCCCGAACCTGAACCCGAGCATGAATAACCTGAACAAACCCTACTAACCTACCCAACGCATTTAGCATTTTTTTTAAAATACTCAACACAAAAATACTACATATGTACTATTACGTCTTTTAATTTAACTTGCTTACAGATCGTTACTACATTGTCACAAATTTCAGATGCATTTTAGTATTTAAATCAACACAAAATAAGACTGAAACTTTATTTCTGCTTATGAATGAATGGTGAATTTTATGGGCGGTGCAATGAGAAATTAGTGTGGGTATCCCTATGTTTGACTTTTGCAGAAGCAATTAAGTGTCTGTATTAGACGATTGTCTTTAAACTAATATCATGATTTGACGTGTCGTACCCACAAACATTCTTTGTGTAAGAACTTATTACTTAAAGACTGACTTGAGTTTCAAAGCACTTGTGCGTGCTGTAATTTTATGAAACGATTAACAGTTATAATGCAATAATGTAAAGATTATGATAATTCTTCTTCTTTTATATATTCAAGTAATAATGTGAACAAAGATAAATTAATCGATGTTAATAGATTCAATCGTAAAATAGAGTTTGAGTACGGAATATTATTATGAATTGTAGATATTTATATAGTTTGCTTGTTACGATTTCACATGCGGATTTTGAAATCGCTTTTTATCATTCCGTTATAAATTGAAAAGCATATCATGGATGGCAGCAATTTATTATATCTTTAGTTTGCTTTTATTTTTTTACTCTGTTCAAAATATACAATTAAGTTATTGTATTTTATTAAAACTTTATTGTTGCAATTATTCAATTTACGAGACCTGCATATTTTATTTCATTTCGATGTTTTCAATATTTTCGTCTCGTACAGTACATAAAATGTCCGGGTGATGACCATATCGCCCAGTGCGAGAGTGATATTTTTAAGCAAATAGTCTGTATTTAAATTTCTTCTTTTATTTTGAACAGAGTATTTGAGAAAGCATTTTTGACTGTATTTAGGCATTAGTAGAGGAGGCAATATGCCAGTTTGTGTAAGAACTTGGGCGTTGGAAGCGCAACATTCAATAGCAATAATTGTAAATACAATAATAGATAGGTTAATTATTATTATATATGTTGATAAAAAAGTTTTTTGTAATTTTTTAAGAGAGCTTTATGCGGTATGCCGTATGTACAGTTTATGTAGTAAATAGTGAAATTTTGAATTTCACCCCGCGATCTTCCGTGTCATGGTAAAGCAATTTGACATACTTTACGATCTTCACACTTGTGACTGGGCTCTCGTAAAATTGTAACTACTGTCAAACTAGAGACGAGAACAAAACAATATTAAGGTTTCACATGGTACGTAACGCTGGGAACTGTCTCGCGACTACTCCTTAAACTAATATTACGTTTTTCCTATTCATATGTGTCGTACATACTATGATTTCCTTTTTAATATTGTTGGATAAAGTGAAACTGTCGTCGATGTTAGCTTAACATATTGATGTCTGTTTGAAGCAGAATATTATTTGTTTCTCATCTCGTAGTTTCGAATCCGAGTTTTATTTCAATGTGTGTACAAGTAGAGATCAAAGGCGTTTATATGTGTATTTTGACGTTTCCGTTATCGTTTTGCTATAGATATTTTCACTAGAAAAGTTTAATATAATCAATCTTTCCGCAGTAGTCTATCACTACCACACTTTTGAATTTATGCCCTCTGTGGATTACGAAATGATAACTTAAACGTCGAAAACGATGACGAACTTGCAGATATAATTTAAAACGACTTGATTTTATAAGCAAAATTGTTTGTCCCATTTATTAATTTTAATGTGTGTTTAGTAAATTTGGTAAGCAATTAACACGATTTCAAGCCATAACGCCCATCTTTTGTAAAAGCTCAGCCATTCGTGTCAAAATTGGACACTCCCGACTGCCCGTGGTGTTCCTCTTGTAAATTTTGTAAAAATTCTTACACACTTTTCGAATACAATCGTGAACTAGTCCGAACTATTGAATGTACATAGTTAAATGTTTGTTACTTGTATATTGTAGATAGAATATATTTCTTTTGACAATTGTATATTCAATAAAATTAATTCTTTATTAAAGATTCAATGTTAAAAAAGATAATTTATTTATAATCAAAATTATGTTAATGCTCAGGTAGATTTGAACTTATCCATAGGTTTTGTGGTTATAGCGTTGTTTTAAGACTTGTGATTATAATAATTAAGCTGTATAATTCACTTTTTCCTTTTCATTTCTGTTTGTCATACATCATTAACTGTGCGTACTTTTTGTAGCAATATTTATACTTTTTTTTAAACAGACCTTATGTGTAAGTTAACAAATCTGTTTACAAACATGGATTCTAAATAAATAAATCCAAAAACTTTATTTGGTTTTTCTCTTTAGATCCCCGATGTAGTTCCAAACTTCTGATATAGAATTTCAAAGTCAATAAGACCTATTTACATGCTATCTACATTCCATAAAGAAATGAAGACTCAATTTCAGGCATTCTTACTTCTTCTTCTTCGTCATCATCAGCACCAGCTGCATCAACCTACACAAGCCCACTGCTTGTCGTTTCTCAAAAGGTTTGATAACTGTACACAGCGTGGATTGGCGATTTCAAACTCATAATTAGAAATTATACGTCCAAGTTTCCTCGCAACGTTTTCCTTCACTATATGCTAGCGGTGTCACTTACAAACATAAAAATATTAGGGACCAGATTTCCAAAATTCTTTCACTGATTGATAGCTACAATGTTTTTGAGTGCTAAAGGTTATAACACATCACGCTACGATCTATAGGAGCCGAGAAGCGAGTGAAACCACACGAGAGTAGCTTGTAACTTATAAATCGATTCTTACATGATAAATCAAATCAAACAGGATGCTGTCTTAAACAAGTTACCAGGTAATATCTTATTACTACTTACTAAATAAATCACACTCAACCAACAAGCCTTAAGCTACTGTAGAACTACCCATTTGTTTATCTTTTATCTAGTCTCATATTTACAAATATCATACAACCAAAACTTGTTTATTGCAGTGAACATTCATTATCTTATCTAAGTTATAAATGAAGAATACTTAATCTAAGTCAATGTATTATTTCAATTGATTGCAGAACATAATTCCTGCTAAGTCGATGCATTATCGATTTGTGGATTTAGTGAATTGTTTTGCTTGCATTTTGGTTAGGGGACTGTGTGCTATAGTACTCAGGTGATAGAGACGAATTCTTATTAGCAAAGAGAAATGTGTAATGAGAAATGGTTATTGTTTTTGTACCCTTTTAAAAAGTAAAGCAATTATTAAAATGTAATAAAATCGAAACTATTGCGAAAATAGTGCAAATATTTATGATTTATAGTTAAAAACGACCAATATAATAGAAGTAGGCACAAAATAAAATAAATAAAATAATCAATCTAAACACACTCATTTAGAGCCTTACACGAATATAATTATTGTTCATCTCAAGAAGCCACCGCAAAGGCAATTATATTTTTAATTACTAAACTACTCACGCAAACTTCAGCTGACAGATACAAGTAGCCATTTTTGCAATCACAAACGTAGATAAATAGTTGTGATTCTCAGTGAGTGTGCTATCTCAATGCGGCTATAATTATACAGGCCATGAGTTATGATGGCTTACTGAGGACGTTTAATCATTTTACTACGTCCATTTTTTAGTTTATACGCATATTAATCTTATGAAACGACACAGGGAATAGCGTGTGTAACCAGGAAGACTACTACATAGATACATTTATATGTATAGGGGTTTATTTCTTTGTAAATTTCAATGAAGTTGCATTGGTTTGTTAAAAAAGTACGAAATTTTCGAAGCTAAATATTATTAAGTTCTAAATATTATTTACAAATTAGATTTCAGATAGTGCAGAATGTAGTGGAATAGTTGAAAGAGTTCTGTTGAATTAGGTATTTTAAATCTCATCTAAATACTGATACCGAAGACTGATAGACTATTACTTCAATAGCATTATTACTTGCTTCCAATCTAAATTTTAGTTTGATTGTTACCACCAATTTACATAGAAATGATTTATAAATAGAATAACGTTAGTTAATATTTTTAAAATTACAATAAGCTTACTTACTTTTTCTATTTACGAAGACAAACAACTGTTTCATCTTTGCCTAAGACACGATATCGTATACACATTAAGTCAGCCAACTACACGGGACACAACACATACATTTATAATACTGAAGGCTCAGGAACCAAGTTACGACTAGAGCAAAATTTACGGTGTCCATAAACGTCCGAATGCAAACTGTATGACGGGAACTTGGTACGAAAACAGTAAAATTTAAAATTAAAGGCGTTCACTTTGTCGTAAATGTTGGATAGTCGTGCTATAGGTACGTGTGTTTTATTTATTTATTTGTTTTTTTTTCTAGAAAATCGATAAATATTTTAAAGAGGGTACAAGTGAAGGCGAATGTTTTATACAGTCATATTATTGAAAGCTGCTATAAAAATATAGAGTGGTGGGACTGCAGTCATGGTATTTATTGCTTTGGATCGTTTTACGCAAATTTTATAGGACCTATAATATTTATGCCAAAAATATGATTATATTACTTCTCTATTTTCACTATGAAATTTGTGTTACAAAATTAAGAACATTATTCTGAAAAGAGTCATAAGATTACACACATTTCTTCTAATTCTTCTAATGCGAAAAACGAACCAGAACATTTTAAAAAACCTAGGTCTAGTGTGGACGATGTCGATCACGAGAGGTCCCATACCAAAATCATGTTGTATGGGAGCTTATTTTTTTTTTGTTTTTAATTTAGCGGCTAAAGAAATACATCTATCTAAATTTCAACTGTCTAGCTATCACACTTCACTAAATACTTAGTGCCTAGTGACCAACAGACAGGATGGACCCCGCTCTCATTAATAGGGTTTCCGTTTTCCCCTATGGATAAGGAATCAAAATATAATCAGTCACTAAATGCTATCATAGCTTTATAAATCTTAAAGATGACACTGGTTAACACAACTAATAACTTTCTTAGATAATGATTAAATGTATAAAAGAAGTTTGAAAATAATAGGCGCTACCTATTTTTTATGTGATAGGACGGCAAAGTATCCTCGATACTAATTACCTTATGGTGAGCAAACTCGCAGCAACTAACTTATCTAAGTTACGAGTGCATTGAAAGTGTTTTTGGGATTAGGAATGCGGAGATTTGGGGATTGGGGATTGGGGAAGGCGAAGAAAGGTAAAGCCTCTAATAACCTCACTTACATGGCTAAATACAACGCTGTGGTTTTATCACGCCAGTATCCGATGCTGTGGTAAATTTATTATTATGATTAAACATTTATTTCAGACCAAAAGTCCATAAGATATTAGTAACAATGGTCTTAACCTATTGTTAGTAATTTATTATAATATAAATAAATAAAACTAATTCTACATTACAGTCTACATCGTGTGCAGTCTAATCCAATGGCCCAATATTGGACTGTCCCATTTATCACACAATACGCATGAATCTCACGCGCTTACCTATTACCTTATCTTAGCCTTCTTTGTTCGAACAGTTTTGTCATAAACGTTTGATAACTGTTATTTGAATTATTGAGTTACCTTCATTGGGTACCAAAAAAATGCCGCGATATATTTCCGTCGTTCAATTTTTAGTTGAAAGAGGATGCCCTCGAATTGGTCTCGTTAAAAATTCATGAAAATTCGTTGTGAAAAAAAAAATGTAAAACGAAATTGGTACATGCGTACGTCTATAGATTTTAATGGATTCTTTCGTAGTAACATTGGTACAATGAAATGTACTTTATTACGAAGACTTAAGTGTCGATTCCGTTATTCACTTGGTGTTTAGTAAGTAATAAAATAAATAGTTGTAATTAGTGCTTTGATTCAATAGATATTTGCGAAGTAAATTTTCTTTTTTAAGCTACATGATTGTTTTATCTTAGCATAGTTGAGACAAAAAAATTACAATATTCTGTAGCCGATATTAGCTACACACACATTAGTGGCTTCTCATTGTATTTCTAGCAACCTGTCTATCCTCTCTTGTAGTTGTCGATAGTAATAAAGCTCTAGAGTTTGTAAAGAAAATCTTATAAAGTCTCTAGAAAATAACATTATTGTCCTGTAGCTGCCATATTGGATATCCGAATGTACTTTTTTTATCCTTTTATCAACCATGAAATGACATAAGATAGTAGGCAAATAATTTTCTAAATAATAATGATTTTAAATCTTAAATGTAAGTAATGGTTAACTAATTTCACATATAATTTTAGTGTTGATAATATTCATGAATATAAATTATTAAACGAACGACCCTCGCCGATAATCGTCGATCCATCTGTATTGGCACATTATGAATTTATTACTGGTCACACCAATAGTTGTTGGATATTAATTTTGTAATATATCTTACGTCGTTTGATAAATAATTCACTATTATTGATATTCATAAATATTCAAGACTAACAAAAATTTAAGAAGGATAAGTCAAAGAAAAGAATTCTGATTTTAAAGTAAGCTTTATTGCGTACTTCTTTAGAGTAATTTTTGAATTACGTTGGCAAAGTCGACGCTTAGCTGTACAGGGCGAAGATAAAAACGTATTTTCTTGACTAAAACGATCCTTCCCTCGATTTCGTTCAATATCACTCAGATCAAAGAGATTTGCAAACAAATTCTTTGACTTCATAGCTTGTCTTCACAAAAGGTGAGGAGAGATTTTTAGGTTAGTAAAATGACCCTCTGACTACGTTAAGACGTCACGATGTCCGATTTCTGGTTCTAAAAATGTTTAGAATTTATGTGGGTCAAGTTATTCAAGAAATATTTTCTAGCTCACTAGACGATAAAAGAACGTTAACTTTTACATAACATACTGCTTTATTGTTATAAAGGACGCAATTTTTAAACTTGTTTTCTATAATTTTAGTTTGAAATCCTAAACAACACTTTCCTGAAAAAGTAACTGAATATACAATATACATATTGTTATATAAACCAGCCATTAACGATGATTTTACAAACATTTCTCTGTATGCGTAGTAAAACTAAAACAACTTCATTACGAATTATGGTAACAATGTTTATACACATTTCAAAACAAAACATTTACAAACATCAATCCAATTTCATAAACACACTAAAAACAAACGCTTAAAGCTACTAACGAGTAAAACATCAGATACACAGTGTATAAAAGTGATCGCTAGTTCAGTACCACGAGCATTAGCCAACTGCA